GGAACAAGGACCAGGTCCCATTTACTGTAGGAATTCATTTCCTCTATCATTGCTTGCCACCATTTATGTTTGTCTTTGAAGTAATTGCTTCTGAGTATGACTCTGGTTCTGTCCTCAGTACTTCAGTTCCTGCCAGTTGGGCTGTGTAGATCAGCTCTGCATATGAGTATCTCACTTAGGGCCTTATGTCTCTTCTGGGCTGTCTTTGCCAGTTGGTAATCTTGTAAATCATCCAGCAAGGGACCTTGGGCCTCCTTGTCTCATCCTCATTCTGGTCAGGTCCCTCAGGTGCTGTTCCTTCTTCTGGTGTAGGATCATCTTCAGTCTGGGTATCTCTGGTTGCCTGATGGTTGCCTCCACCTCAATTGATGTAGTGTCTAGATGATCTAGTTGTGTTACATTGTTGCTTGGAGGACTTGCATCACTGTTAGCAAACTGTAGGGGAAATCCCCTTCATTAAATTACATATCTGCTAATAATGATCTTAACCCGGTGTAGTCCTATCCCATAACCTGTAACCTTTAGTGCCCTCTGATATCCTAACAGTAAACACTTTATGGACCTGGGCTTAATTTCCCATCACTAGGGTGTGCATATGCAGCACATCCAAACACTCTTAGGTGACTAAGGTTTAACTCTCTCCTTACCATTTAGACCAGGACAGTTGAATCCTATGGAGCTATTGAGGCTTCTGTTTATTAGATGGGCAGCAGTGGTCAAAGTTCTCCCCAAAGTTTTTGGGAGTTTGAAGTGAATAGAAGACATGACTTTCTCTAACAAGGTTCGGTTCATTCTCTCAGCAACTCTATTTGCTGAGGGGTTTCCTAACTGTCTTATGCCTTAATATACCTTGATCCCTACAGATTATCAAACTCTATATTGCAGAAACTAGACCATTGTTTCTTAAGGCTTTCACTCTTCTATCAGTTTGATTTTCCACAAGTATTTTCCAGGTTTTAAACTTAGACAGTGCCTATCTTTGGACTTCAGTAGGTATACCCAAACCTTCCTACTGAAGTCATCCTAATTGAAAGGAAGTAGGAATTCCTCATGAGATCCAATCTTTCAGGTCCCGAAAGGTAGCATGTAGGTAATCTAAACAGTTTTTGGATAAGTGTATGTCTTTGGTGAAACTAACTCTATGTTGTTTTCCTAAGACAGGGTTTCACAAAAGTCTAGCGTTTAGTATTTTATCCTTTCTAAATAAACCTGTTGGGTAAGAAGCTCATACCCTTCACTCATAGCCCAGCCTAAGATGCCACTTATCAGTAGTATTGAGATTGGGTGGAGACCAGTGCACTATTCTCTTTCTCAGGGTAAACTGCCACACAAAAGGTACAGCCCATTCTTCTTCAGCCCCCTTAATACAATATGATTATTCTTAAACAACTTTATGCAACCCCTTTCAGCATATAACTACAACCGATTCATCTAAGTGCCTAGGGATATTAGGTCCTCTTTAGTTCAGGAATGTACTAACATTTGATAACACAATAAGTTTTCATCATCCAACCTTAGGGTTATATTGCCAATCCTAACACTCTGCAGGTGTTGTTATTACCCATATAGACAGTTTCATATTCACCACCCCTAAAGTCCTAGAACCAATCCCTGTTACAGCTCATATGGAAGGAGCATCCTAAGTCTAACACCCAGTCATGTGTTGATGTCCTAGACACAGTGAGGACTTCTGGATCAGTAATATTATATCAGCACAAGGCCACATTGCTATCAGTGTTTACTTATTTTTGTTTTTAATCCAATTATAACAATTCTTTTTTTAGATGCCCTGGTTTATTACAGTGAAAACACTTCCTAGTCTCCATTTTCTTATTAGTCCCTTTCCCTTTCCTTTTAGTTTAGACCAAGTGTTTCTTTGCATGCCATTAGAGAAACTTCCTAGGTCAGTTTTACCTAACAAACAAATTGTTCCCACTTCTTTTTTGAACCTTCAACTTAACTCCCTAGCTTTAGTCTGATATATATGAGATCTAATAGAGACAGTGCCAGAATACGTTAAAACGTTCTTAACAACCTGGTATTCCTCTGTCAGTGAGTTTAGCAGGATCATTGCTAAACTCGTTTCACCTAATTCTAGTCAGTGCCCTTTAGGATCATAGTCATTTTCCTAGGATTATAGTCATTTTCAAGAATTCATCAAATTATCTTCTATGACTTACTACTGTATCTATATGAAAATAGTGCACCCTTTAAGATAGCCAGATTTGGTGCAGTTTGTAAGGCATACAGAGTTTCGAGTTTACCCCAGAGTGCGATTGGAGCCTCCAATCCATCCACTTCTTCAGCAGCTTGTCTGCCAAATCATCACGATCAAGTTGTATGCCTCTTCGTCTATTTCTGCCTTTCTGTTTAATGTCCCTGGCCACTTTTCTGCATCCTTTTCCAGTGCAATCCCTACTTATTATGTGAAAGTAGGGCCTTCATCTTCTTCTTCCAAGAATTGAAGTCAATTTTTCCGTGTACTGCGCGTTCCATGCGAGTTGAACTCATGGTGCTCATAATTAGAAAACGTGTCGATTTGTGATTATTTGGTTTGATGATTACCTATAGTTCCTAGAACCCTAAACCGAAATTTTAGAAAACCCCCAATCGATGAAACCTAGAATTTTAATTTTCTCAAATTCGGATCTAAACTCACTCTAGGCTCTAAGGTAAAAGGCTCTGATACCACTGTTGTAAACACTCTTTCAAACACAGATTATAACCAATAAAACAGACATCCACAAAAGATCAAGAACACCCACAATTTTACCATGGTTCACCTCCAAGATTGGGAAGGCTACGTCCACGTTGAGCTCCGAAAACAAAAGAAGTTCACACACTAATTGTTAATCAGTTTACAGATTACAGACACAAGATCGAAAGATCCAATACACCCGAAATCACCCTATCTGGTAACTATCAGCCTAGGAAACTACCACTCAGAATCCCAGCCCATCGAGAGACAAAACCCCTAAATCAGAATGACAAAACCAATCACTCAACCAGTTACACAGAATCAAGATTTTAGAACAAAAGATGAACCCTAGGAGCAAAAACCTAACACAGTATCAATCGAATAGAATACCCTAGACTAAAGAGAAAAGTTTGCTTATATATCGTGACCAGGATGGACTGAACTCAGCCGTTGGATCTCTTGAAGACTGATGGTCCAGATTCATTCTGAAACGACAGCGTATTGGTTTAAGTAACACGGCACCGTTTTTAGTCTTCACACTTACAATTTACAAGCGTCTTATTAAATTAAGTAATCATTATTTTACTTATCTATTTCAGTCAAATGATGTAAATAGTATATATATCTATTTCTGTCACCAATATGTATACATTATATTCAAAATGTGAAATTATAGTGTTGTGGGAAAAAGAAAAATGAGATTCTAAGATAAAAAAAAGTAAAACAAAAAGAAATCCATTTATTTTTGGATTCTATTGCTAAAATATTTTCTTGAAAGTTAGTGAATTAGGTTGTCTAATCATGTCCTAACTTTATACTAACTAAGTTCTTTTTATTAGATTGGTGACTTAACTTTTTCAGTCTTTAAGGTCAAAGTTTCTTGAACCCTCTCCTATCCAATTTTTGTTGTTGCAGTCAGGTGAATCCCGAGGTCACCCAAATATTATTTACTCACTAATAATTAACCAACTTACTCCTACCCCAACCTTAAAAATTTCCACCTTTTAACACTCTCTCTTTCTCTCATATGTTATTCTTAGGAACAAATATAAATAAATGATGGCTACTAAAATAATGATAATAATAAAATAATTAAAGAATAAATCTTGATCCATCAAAGCTCCTGTAATTAATTAAAAAAAATAAAGAAAAGATTCGAATTCCCGGCCCAAATGTAACTGATGATGATTATTTAAAGAAGTGTGATTTAGTATTAATGTGAATGAAAAGTTGCCAATATTGTTTGGGATTTTGAGTGAATGTTTGTAGTAATTACAAGTAATAAGTCGAATTGGAAGAGACAGGAGTGTCATATTGAAGGTTGAATAGAGTGGTCTGATTAGTGTAGTAGGGGATATTGGGAGAGATTTTAATATATGGACCCAACGTCACTCTCCATTAATCGTCATCGCCATTTTATCAATTGATTTAAACTCATCCAATACCACGTTTCCCCTAATATTTGTCAAAGCTATTTTCCAAGATATCTTGATCAGCTTGCTTATCACACCCCTTAATAATAATATCTATATCTAACTCATATTCAATCTTCTATAATGTAGATTGGATCAATTCTATATATGTTTGATATTATAAAAAAACAAATACGTGTTATATGTTTCAAAAACCGAAATTTCAAAAAAAGAAAGGAATGAAAATCTATTAAGATCTAACTCATTATTCATCTTCTAATCATATAAGATGGATCCATGTTATAAGTTTTGCTATTAATAAAAACAAATACGTGTTATATGATCCTTCAAAAACCGAAATTTCAGAAAAAGAGAGGAATGAAAATATATTAAGATCTAACTCATTCTTAATTCAATCTTCTAATCATGTAAGATTGGATCAATTTCTGTATATGTTTTTGATAATTAATAAAAACAAATACGTGTTATATGTTCCTTCAAAAAGCGAAATTTCAGAAAAAGAAAGGAGTGAAAATATATTAAAGATTAAAATCTTTGATTAGTTCAAAGATGCTTTACATAATAACTAATTATATTTCCTTCAATCTTCTCTAACCCGTTTTTATTTCTAGTGGAGATCGGGTCAACTCTTGTTAATGATAAATTAATTATGTTGATAAATATTCTATAGGAACTGACACAAGAAATTAAAGAAAGAGGTTTTTTGTCTTGTCTGTCCTTTTTAATTAATTATAATAAAAAGAAAAAAAAAATTAAAGGTTAAGATAATTGTATATTTAATTTAGGTGGGGTCTGCCCCGTATATGATTTTTATTCATTCATATAATATTTTTTTCCCCTACAATTATGATTTTATGGGAGTGCTAGAAATCAGAAAAGACAGTTCACATGGGAGAACTCAGAAAGAAGAAAACTGTACCCATCTTTTGTCACCTTCAATCTTTCCATCTTCTTCTTCAAGAGCAACATTCACTCTTCAATCAATCCTTCTACTTTCTTCTTCCATGGGTAAGGTAGACTACTAACACATGCAATAATTTAACCATTTCTTTTATTCTCTTTCAAACCCTTTGCATATTTTTCATCTTTGTCAAATTTCTTCGTCTATATTTCCTTTGGTTTTTGCTCTCTCCATACAAAAGTATGAGGAGTATTGCAACTTGTTATAATGAACATGCCATTAAAGTATCCGATTCATATTGTTCCGGCCCTTCAAACCGATCCTATCTTTCTCCAAACTTGATCCCTTCAACCCCAAATTCAGTTTCTTGTATTTACAAAACCCAACTCTCTTCTGAAAAACACCTCCTCATAACATTAAGTTGGTGCAATAAATTATTAGGCCATGGTCTCAGTATTAACGTCTGTGACAACACACGTCATCCCTCCAAATTCAATGTTAATTCTCACCAGTTGAGTCATAACAAAGGCAGCAAAATTTTCGAATCTTGCAATTCAAAGGTTGAAGTTTTCTGGGATGTTTCCAATGCTCAGTATGAGAATGGACCTGAACCGAGCCATGAGTTTTATGTAATCGTTTTGGTTGATTCTGAACTTGGTCTAATCCTTGGAGACATGAATGAAGAACAAGAGGAACTCAACGTTAAAAATCTGAAATCAAAATACCCAGTTAGGAAATTCTCATTAGTTTCAAGATTCGAGAGGTTTTCGGGTTCGACTGTGTATTCAACAAAGGCGAAGTTTTGTGATTCGGGAAACGCTCATGAAATTTTGATAAAGTGTATGGGAGAAAAGGAAGGATCAAGAAATAATCCAGTTCTATCAGTGAGTATTGATGAGAAGAAAATATTTCAAGTGAAGAGATTGAGGTGGAATTTCAGAGGAAACCAGACGATATTTTTGGATGATTTGTTGGTGGACATGATGTGGGATGTCCATGACTGGTTTTTTAAAGAAGGAAATTCAGGTTGTGCTATTTTCTTGTTCAGAACAAGGAGTGGATTGGATAGCAGGTTGTGGTTGGAAGAGAAGAATTTAAAGCAAAAGGGAAAAGAATGGGTTGATGAGCAATTCTCTTTGTTGATTTGTGCCTGTAAGAATCAATACTAATTACACTTTTCTTCTAATTTTTTTTTTTTTTTTTTAAAATTTTATCCCCAAGTATATATGATTTTATTTTATTTTATTTTTTCCTTCTTTTTTTTTCTTTTTTAACCTTTTTATGAATTTCGATAAGGAAGAAGATAGATAGGAATTAATATATATACGATCATATGGAAATGAAAAAAAGAGGTTTGAGTTGTATAGGTGGTTTGCGTTCTTGTACATTGAACTTGAAATTAATTAATGTTTGCTTCTGCTTGTTCCACTTTCTATGGATCTCTGCTACAGAATCTCAACTGTTAAATCTCTTTATAAAGTTTTTTTTTAGTTTTGGTCAACTTTTCTGTGTTATGAATTGGGGGCAAATGACGACACAACTGAGGGCTTTTGCAGTTCAAATTTTGCAGTTTAATAATGCTACGGACACCCAAGATCTGTACCGAAATTTTGCATTGAATGAAGTGTTAACTGAGTAGACGCAATCACGTAGTATATTAACAAATATTTTATAAATGAATAGTCGTTCATCAAATATGAACGGACATATATAATTATTGGACGACCGTTTATTTTAAATAGACTCACGTTCATGAGAAAATAATAATGGACTCTCGTCTATATTATATGGATGGACGTCCACCTAGAATGGACACCCGTCCATTGTTTAAAATAAAAAACATTTAAAACAAAAATCATGGACACCCATCCATATTCAATGGACGGCGTCCCTATTAGATGAACACCTTTCCATTGTTTGAGTTAAAAAATTTTATACACAATTGAGACTCAAATGTTTTAGCTTGATTACCTGCTCTGGAAGCTATGCCATCTGGGACCATGTATTTATTAATCAAGTTGCTTTAAAAAATGTATATGTGATATGTTTGCTTTTCTTGTATATATGTTGTATGGTAGGTAAGAGTACGTATCATCATATTAATTATTTTTCTTTTTGAAATAAAAAAGATGTATAATCCACTTAAGAAAAATTGTATTAACTCTTTCTGTGTGTAAATTTTTTTGACTCAAACAATGGACGGACGTTCATTGAATATGGACGCATGTCCATAATATATAGACAGATGTCCATGATTTTTATTTTAAAATTTTTTTTATTTTAAACAATGGACGAGCGTCCATTCTAGGTGGACGCTTGTCCATTGTTATTTTCTCATGAGCGGGAGTCCATATAAAATGAATGGTCATCCAATAATCATAGATGTCTGGCCATATTTGATGGACGATAGTTCATTCGCGAAATATTTGTCAATATGTTACGTGATTGCGTCTACTTAGCTGACACGTTATTCTGTATAAAATTTCGATATAGGTCTTCAACGTCTGTAGCATTATTGTTTGTAGTTTTGCTTCTTTTTGTGATGAAGGAATTATTATTGTATTAATTGGTTTTTTTTTATATGTTTTCAACCATTTGGGAGGAAAAAGTTCCATGCTTTTGGGGACAAAATTTTCCCCGAGTAATACTAGCCTTACAAAGAGGCATACAAATAAGCATACAAAGAGACAAATCCAACCCTTAAAAGAAGATAAAAAGAGAGAAAGAGAGGTAATTATGAATTTGAAGGGCTGAATTTATCTCTTTGTATGCCTCTTTGTAAGCTAATATTACTCATTTTCCTCATATATAAATTTAAAGTTTGTACCTAATCGGATCTCTATTTTAACAGAGCTGACCAAACTTTGGTTGGATGTGATGTGTTCGCTAAGTACTTCAGGTCAATGTTTTGAAACCCGGCCCGGCCGGTTGAACCGGTTGAACCGGGACCCCGCTGATGAGCCGGGCCGGATGAGCCTACAAACCAGTGTTTTTGTTCTGTTCGCTGGCGCCCGCAGTTGGACCGGTGTACTGTAGCACCCACCGGTCCAACAGTCCATTTTAAAAAATCCGGGTCAACATTTATAATATAAAATAATTAAATTTAATAATATAAACTTAAACAGTAAACCCCAATATCATTTCCTTTCCCTCATTTCCCACCCATTTTCAAGCGTTTCCCACCCATTTTCATGCTCCCACCCTTTGCTTTGAAAGTCTGAACTCTAAAGCTTCACTCTCACTGAACTCAGAAAATTACCGTCGGAGTCTTCCCTTCACCGTCGAAACTCGTCGCTGTAGCCTTCACCGTCAACGGTTTGCTTCGTCGTCAGCTAGGGTGCCGCTCATTTTGCGATCTTCTCTGGCGTCCACTCTTCATCACCGCCGATCTACGCCGTAATCCATCGTCTTCATTCTTGATTCTTCTCGGAGCTGCACAGTCGATCTGGATCTCCGAGCTGCACACACTCTTCTTCACATTGCTTGAATCTGACTCAGCTCTTTATAGTTGCCCTGATTCACTCCACTTCAAGTTCAATCCACAATTATCACCTGCACTCTGATTTTGATGAGCTTTACTGCCTCCATTACCAATATATGTGGTGATTACAGCCAATTGGAAATTCGGATTTGATGTGATAACTTTTGTTGTCTCAGTTAAGGACTGCTAAAGATTGTTCATGTAAGGCGCTGATTGGGAAATATGTTGCTTTCCAAAATTTTAAATTTAAAGACCCAATAGGGTTCTTATTGTACGAGAGAGTCCCATGATTAGAATCCAAGAAATTAGTATATGTTGGAGTGGACAATTTGAGACTTGTTGAAGAAAATCTTTGGAGTTGAAGATTAAGTCTATTTAAATGAGAGAAGGTGGTGAGATCAAGAACAACCGTTGGGTGAGAGTTGGTTGCAGAGATTGTAGAGTTATGGAAATACAATTGATATGGTCTTTCACTTTGGGAGAAANAACAAATCAACGAACAAAATTCTACATAAATTATACAAAAAGCTTTTACATTTCTTAACTTACCCACTTGCATCTTCCTCAAAGTCAAGTCCCCCGCAAATGCGCCTAAATCAAACACATTTCTCTGGGCATCATTTGCATCACCAAAAGAACCACCCTGCATACAATAAAATTTTCATATTTAAAATCCCAGCAAAAGCAAACTATCCCAATTCTCATTAAGGCCAAAGCAATTAACACTTCACAAATAAAAATTACCACTTGGTTTGCCACAACATCCGGCATCTTCAAACGCGCACAACAACAACTTTACCTGCACAAACTTTAAATTTTTTTCAAAAGAACTTCAAAATTAAGTGGAAAAAAATCGTATAATAAGGGTATTCGTTTAATTGCTTGTTTACCTGGAATCGGACCGGATTCGCATTCAACATTTGAACGAAATTGAATTTGAATTTTCAATCTTCAGATTCAGATCAAAAGAGAGTTTCAGATCTTCAGTTGCCGAGGTGAAGAGAAAAATTAGAAAGTGAGTGGACTAATTCGATTTTAAACTCCAGTTATTTTGGGTTTTTTTTTTTTTTTTTTTTTTAATGACGTTAGTATTAGGGGACAAATGTTTTATTAAATATATTTGGTGTGATTGAAATAAATTAGTAGGTATGTTATATTAATATGGTTGATTGGAAGAGGGATAAAAGAACAATGGGAGAAACTTTATACTGAGTTGCCCTTTTTTTTATAATAATATTATATTTGGATTATTCTTTTATTCTCGTACATTTGAAAATTACGCTAAAACATCCCAATCAAAATAAAAGTATAAAAATTTGGTGGAAATATAAGGTAATAATGTTTTAAAAATCTTGTTTGTAAGGATAAAATAGTCTATAAATATTCTTATAAATTGTTTTCAGAATAAGGACATTATTGTCCAAGATTTTTATGAATTAGGGGTAAAATTTTAATAAAATTAAGATTACCAATTTATTTTAGAATACCTAAGAAAATAGTGATATTCAAATTACTACATATATAACGTACTGTAATTATTATTAATATTAAAAAATTATTTAAATATTTTATTATTTGATAACCAAATATAGTAATGTCAGTAATGTAAAAGAGAACAAAGACACAATATAATGTTATGAATGTTTCCTTTTCAAAATATCTTGGAACAATATTTCAATCACCATCTTTTTTTTTATACTAACTAATGAGATGTTGTTTACATGATTTAAAGATATTATTTACTTTATTTCACTTAGACATTACATAATAAACACAAATTAGATTTTAATTGTTTAAAAATATTAAAAATACTTTCAGATCTTAATATATATTGTTATGGGTATGCCTACCGATAGTAAATTGCACATAAATCTTAGTACATGTCATACTTTCAAGATTTTCCGTATACATATGTCGTCTTCAACCTAACATCACTCATACTTTTATAATTAACATAAATAATGTGTAAAGATCCATCCTAATTGACAAATTTGGAAAGTGTCTAAAATTTAAAGAAAATGTAAACTATTGCTTCCCCCAAATGTTCATATTTTAAACTTTTTTTGTTTTTTAAAACAGCAGTTATGAATTTGAAATTGAAAAAAAAAAAAAAAAACCTAACAGAAAAACTGAACAGCGTTATCAAGTCTTAAGCACTCAAATGACACCAATTAACTTCTGTTAGTATTTTCCGTTTGAAGGCTTTGAGCAACATAAATTGGAATTGCTTCTTCTCTCCGCTCAACATCATGGGTGGAACAAAAAATAAAACCCCCCATGCACTAAAATCGATTTCCCAATTTTCCATAAGATTATTTCAATTAAGATTAGAGACACAATTGGTAAAATTTAAAAATACCACTTTAAAAAGTGTAAGAGACATTTTCCTCACCCAAATAATAGTTTAATGATATTTTTTCACCCACAAACTTTTAAAATATCATTTTATTATCCAAATTTATATTTTGTTTCTGATTCCGACATTAGAAAAGTGTGGATTTACCAAACCTTGGGTGGGAAAAAAAATTTTGGACTTAGTAATAGAGTTAATGACTCTTTTTTACCCAAATAATGGTTTAATGACACTTTCTCACCCACAAACTTTTAAAATATCACTTTATTATCCAAATTTATATTATGGTGGCGAATAGAGAGCAAACTCAATCCAGACTGTTAGGACCTTTAAAAAGGGGAGGCTGGTGATTCTTTTGCTGGT